TTCCACTGGCCTTCCGTTACAGCCAGGCTCCCCTCTGCCTGCTCCCTCTCCTTACACTGAGCAGCCTAGAGGTCTTAGTGAGCATCGCGAGCCTGCGTCCCGTCCTAACTCGCCTGTTCGCACTGGTCGCACTGGTCGCACTGGTCGCACTGGTCGTGTTAGTCGTGAGCGTCCTCCTCCTGTCCCTGGCACACACATTATGGCACTTCGTCCCTCCTCTGTTCCACGGCATGTTTCTCTGCCGTCTCCTCCTGCGTCTTCTTTGCCTGACGTTCCGGACCCTGAGTCTGACCTGTTTCGTGCTGAGCACCCTACTGTCACGCGTCTGCTAGCCACTGTTGTCACTGACCCGTCGTTTGAGTCTTCTGCTGCGTCTACCTTAGTCGCTGAGCTTGTTGATTTTGCTGCTGCCTGTCGTCTAGACTACACTGCTAGCCTTGTTGCTGAGTCTGAGTCTGTCCGTCCTCCGTCCGTCGGGGGTGAGTGTGCTCTTGGCACGGACGTCCTTGAGGACAGGCACGAGGACCTTGAGTGTCTTGCAGCCGCTGCGCCTCATCTCGTGGCCATGCTGTTTGCCCCTGAGGGAGACCCGGATGCTCTAGACATCCCGACCCCGCGCTCTTACGCTGAGGCAATCGCGGGTGAGTACTCCTCTCAGTGGCAGGCAGCCATGGACGCAGAGATGGCATCCTGGAAGTCCACAGGCACTTACGTCGATGAGGTTCCCCCTCCTGGGGCGAACATCTTCGATGGCATGTGGATTTTCAGGGTGAAGAGGCCGCCGGGTTCTCCGCCTGTCTTCAAGGCTCGTTACGTTGCACGAGGCTTTAGTCAGCGAGAGGGAGTTGACTTCTTCCAGACCTTCTCCCCCACCCCGAAGATGACTACTCTTCGGGTGCTGCTGCACGTTGCCGCTCAGCGTGACTACGAGCTTCACTCTCTGGACTTTAGCACAGCCTTCTTACAGGGTAGCCTGCACGAGGAGATCTGGCTGCGCCGCCTCCTTCCACTACTGACCCGTCGCTGTTTCTGCGCACCGACACTTCGCTGCATCCTCGTGTACGTCGACGACTTGGTCTTTGCCACTGCTGACACTGAGGCTCTCGCTCTGGTGAAGTCAGAGCTGCAGAAGAGACACACGTGCACAGACCTGGGTGAGCTGCGCAGCTATCTTGGCTTGCAGATCACCCAGGACAGAGCACGCCGCACCATCACACTGACTCAGTCACACATGGTGCAGTAGGTCCTTCAGCGCTTCGGCTTCACCTGGTCCTCGCCACAGTCCACTCCTCTGGCTATAGGTCACTCGCTCTCAGCTCCACCTTCGGACGAGTCCGTAGAGCCGAGTGGTCCTTACCTAGAGCTAGTGGGCTGCCTCATGTGTTGAGATAAGCGGTAGTCTTAGGAGCCATAGCTAGGAGAGTCCTAGCTAGGCAAGAGAGTTTAGGCAAAAGAGGAGGTTCACTAGCAGCAATGAGGATACATATAGCAAACCCTAGATGGGTTGTACTCGCTATAGAGCACCCCACTACAGGCTAGAGAATAACATTCTGACACACCCCCATAGCCAAAGTGGGGTGTAATCAGTACAATGAGCAAGCAGGTAGAAAGCAGGTTCACAAGTGCAAGCAAAGCTAGAGGCATTCACAAAGGGCAAGTGAGGAGGAGGAGGAACTGTGGAAGGAGTGAAGATGAGAGGCGACGGCTGAAGCTGCAGACACACGGGCAACAGGAGTCAAACTGGCACAGTGGCTACCGGAACAGCGCCCCGGACTACAGGAGTAACTGGCTCCGCGGCTAAGAAGAGCGGCAGACGAGCAACGGACCCACGGGCGACTGGCGCAGCTGGCTACGACTGGGCTACCGGAACAGCGCCCCGGACTACAGGTGCTGCTGACGACAAGACGGCAGCCTCCGCTCAACCTCCCCCGACCGTCCCACGCCCCTCTCACACACCCCCTGCTGACACCCTAGCTCCACTTCCACGGCACCCCCCTTAAACCCTAAACCTCGGCTCCCACACATCCACCCCCCTCAGCGGCAGCTGCAGCAGTGGGAGACGGAGGAGGAGGAGGAGCAGGGGACGGCGCACACACACGGCACCCCCAGAGCTGCCACCCCCACACTCCGCACCCCAAAACCCTAAAAACGGGCGGAACGGGGGAAGGAGCGCGGGGGACGGCGAGGGGGACGGCGCTCGGCCCCCAGAACGCGACCACGGGGCAGAGAGGGGCCGCGCGCGGCTCCCCAGGGCGGCGCGACGGGAAATCGGGGCCGCGGGGGGGTCGCGCGCGGCTCCCCAGGGCGGCACGACGGGAAATCGGGGCCGCGGGGGGTCGCGCGCGGCTCCCCAGGGCGGCACGACGGGAAATCGGGGCCGCGGGGGGTCGCGCGCGGCTCCCCAGGGCGGCACGACGGGAAAACGGGGCCGCGGGGGGTCGCGTGCGGCTCCCCAGGGCGACGGGATCGCGGGGCCGCGGGCGACGGGACCGGAGGGCCGCGGGCGACGGGATCGGGGGGCCGCGGGCGTCCCCCACGGTAGGAAACCGCCGTGCGCCTCGGTGCGCACGGCGGGGAGAAAACCGCCGCACGCCCCGAGCGCGCGGCGGGATGAAAATGTGAAGGTCGCGCGCCACGGGGCGCGCGACACTGAGTAGGGCAGCGGAAGCAGCAGTGGGGCCCACAGGCCAGGAGCGTGAAGGCTCTGTTACCATGTCGTGAGAGTAAGCATAAGCAGGAGCCATAGCTAGGAGAGTCCTAGCTAGGCAAGAGAGTTTAGGCAAAAGAGGAGGTTCACTAGCAGCAATGAGGATACATATAGCAAACCCTAGATGGGTTGTACTCGCTATAGAGCACCCCACTACAGGCTAGAGAATAACATTCTGACATCATGTACCTGATGACCTGCACTCGACCTGACCTTGCGTACCCTCTTGGCCTTCTGGCTCGCCAAGTGGCTCCTGGTAGGCACCGAAAGGTGCACTGGGAAGAGGGTACTGCGCTACCTGTGCAGTACATCGGGCATGGGGCTCGTGCTTGGAGGACGGGGTGACGTTGTCCTCACTGGACACTCTGACGCGTCTTGGGTTGACGACCAGGCTACGCAGCGGTCGTCACAGGGTTACACCTTCAGTCTTGGCTCTGGCTCTGTTTCTTGGCGGTCTACTCGCTCTTCTTCTGTTCTCAGCTCCAGTTGTGAGGCTGAGATCTACGCGACAGCCATGGCTGCACAGGAGTTACGCTGGCTCACCTACCTGCTGACTGACTTGGGAGAGCGGCCTCGTTCTCCTCCAGTTCTGTACGTTGACAACAAGGCGGCCATTGCCTTGTGTGAGGAGCACAGGCTGGAGCACAGAACGAAGCACATCGCTCTACGTTACTTCCTGGCTCGAGAGTTGCAGCAGCGAGGTCAGCTTCGTCTTGCTTACGTGGCCACCAGGGCCAACACTGCTGATATATTCACCAAGGCACTTCCGTCTTGTGATCATCAGCGCTTCTGTACTTTGTTAGGCCTTGTACCTACGTTTCCACACTTGCTGTAGGCTTTGCGTATACTGTGATCTATATACATATACCTGCATGCTTGCTCTTGCTAGGTGGTGATCACTGTGCTGTTCCTGTTGCATATATACCTCTGCATGTGGACTGGCCTTGTGGCCCTTTGCTTGTGCTCAGTGTGTGTGGTGACGTTGTGATCCACCCTGAGCTTGCTTTGCTTTGCTTGACTGGTCTTGTGACCCCTTGTTCTCCCCCACTTTGCCTATGGGGGTGTGTCAAATTATATATGTAACATATATGTGTAGGCTGTAGTGGGGTAGCCAATATGGGGTATAGCCCCTTTAGGGTTTCATGTTTGTACCCAACTTGATTCTGATCCATTCATTCCTGCCTAGCTACCGTATCACCCCGGATATAAGCGCAGGCCTATTAAAAGCGCATGCGCTTCTATCTGGAGCAATGCGCTTATGGCCGATCCTCAATTATAAGCGCACCCCCTTAAAAAACATGATTTATTATAAGCGCATGTTAGTTTTAAATTGAAAAACTGTCAAATTTCTGTAACGAAGTTCACTTTAGAAGGTGATGAGTTGAAAATCAGATTTCCTTCGCATTCAAACCCTTCACAGGCTGCGCGTCCAGTCAGCAAGTGCTGTCAGCAGCTCCTAGTGACTCATTTTGACTGTATGTGCTGGCAGGGAATCTTTCCCTGCCAAGTAGCGAGAGTTTTTCACCCACAACCCTGTTTCAAATCGACTCGATTGGGTGCGCAATGACGGGAACTACATTTTCGTGCTAGTAGTTTACAAATGTATATTTGTTATTTTATAAGCGCATGCGCTTATATTTGTTACTCAATTATAAGCGCACCCCCCTGAAAAATCATGTTTTATTATAAGCGCAGGTGCGCTTATATCCGGGGTTATACGGTATTCTGACACTTTGCATATACCTCTGTGAACTCTTGGACTGGCCTTGTGGCCTCTTGTGACGTTGTGATCCACCCTGAGCTTTGTCTCTTTGTGACTGGTCTTGTGACCGTACGGTTTGGTTGTTGCATGACACCCCTCACTTAGGCTATGGGGGTGTGTCAAATGTTGTAGCCTGTAGTGAGGCATGTGATGTGGGGTGCAGTTGTTAGGGTTTGCTATATGTACCCCAACTCACACTATGGTAATACATCATCATTCAGTTTTTGACACATTGTAGCCAGTTGTGAAGTACCATGAGGGAAATTCCTTGCACCACTCTTCAAAAAGCAATTTCCAAATGTTAGAGCAACACACAAGTATACGCTACATATACTGTACTATTGGGATATACCGTACTTGTCAACACATACCTGTATGTATGCGGAACAAGAAAGTGAGTCCCTTTCTGTTCCTATCTAACGTACAGTACTGTACTACCGTTTCCCGTATTAGGCTTAATGCGGTTAAGTTAAAAAACCACATCCCATAATAACCATATGTAATATTCTTTAGTATCGAGTGCAGTGTGTGTCATCGGTACTCGCGCAGCAGGTAGCTGGCAGGGCTGATGGGCTCGCCCCACGTGGTCTTGCTGAGCCCAGTGCCCGCTGCCAGGTCACAGTCAGCTGCATCACCATCCACCATTGTCGCATGCGTGTTTGCCTGTGCGTGCGCATGCGAGCGTGCGAAGCCCGCCTTGCGCATCGAAGCGGGCGTGCTGCAGCGGAAGACGTCCAGCGATGCCAGCGCCTGCGGCCTCACAGGCTGCAGGAAGTGGGGGAGAGGGCAGGGGCGGGGAGAGGGCAGGGGCGGGGGGAGGGCAGGGGCGGGGAGAGGCAGCGGGACAGACAATATGGATGAGATAAGGGTGGTGGGCCAGGCAGAAGGCTGCAGCAGTGGACAGTGTGGGCTGCAGCGTGAGAGGCAGAAAAAGAAGGGAAAGAGACCAAAGAGAGTCCAGAGAGGAGGGGAAGGTGAGGAAATGAATGGGAAGCTGCAAGGATGGGCAGGGGAGCAACGCACCGAGAGCCAGCGGGCAGTGAAGGGAGACATGGGTGAGGTGAGCGACGCCACGCCCGCCATGCCCGCACGCGAGGGCGTTGGGGAGAAGAGCGACCCCTCCACACCCACCTCCTGCAGCACCCACTGCCCCTCTGACCCTGCTGCCCCCTCACCCCCTCCCACCGCATTAGACCCTCCATTACCCCCTACTGCCTCCGCTCGACCCATGCTGTTCCCTTGTCCCTCCGCTGCTACTGCTGCTGCTCGCACTGTTGCCACACGCTTGAGAGGGGGTGGGGACAGCACGCCAGCGCAACCGCCTGATGCTTCTCCCTCCGCCTCTCCACCCTCGCCCTCTCCCTCCCCCTGCGCCTGCACCTGCTGCTGTGGCTTGCCCACGCACCGGTGCAGCGGCGGTCGCACCCGCCTCACCTTCCTCTCCGAACCCGCCTCTCCTCCTGCTGCTACTGCTGCTCCTGCTGCTACTGCTGCTGCTGCACCCGCCTCTCCGCCATTCACTCCACCACCACCGTCGCCTCCCTCAGCAGCACCAGCAGCAGCGGCTGCAGAGCCACAAGCAGCAGCGCTAGAATCAGCTGGCGGGTCGGCGTCGTCGGCTGCAGAGAAGGGGCGCTTGAGTGTGTGGGATGGAGACATGGAGGTGTTGTGTGGTTCTGGTGCTGGTGGCAGTGCCGTGCATGGCTTGCCTTCTGCTGCCACTGTTGCGACCTCATCACTCACTGCTTCTGCGCACCTAAGAGGGTCAATCTCTTCCTTGCCACCACCATCACGTGCATCAGGTGTTGCTTCAGGTGCTGCGGAAGCAGCAGCATGGTGGGAATCGCTAACACCAGGGCGATCCACAGCCATTGTCTCACCAACCTCTGCTGCTGCCGCATCACCAGCCTCTGCAGACGCACACTCAGCACCACTGGCAGCAGAGCCATCACGAGCAGAACCACCGGCAGCACCGTCGCCACTGCTACCAGAAGCAGCCAGGGCCACCCTCGCACTCCCCGCCCTGCCACCGCTCTTGCCATGCACAAGGGGCAGTTGGGGCTGCGCAGGTGAGGGCATCTGCAGGGGCGGAGGCGGTGCAGCAGCAGCAGCAGAGGTGACAGTGGCAGAGGCCATGGTGCTAGTGGCGGCCATCAGTGCTGCAGCAGGAGGGGAGGTCGCTGGTGTGACTGAGGGGGAGAGTGCCCCACTCATGCACGACTGGCTGCCACTGCAGCTGCTGTAGCACCCTGAGTAGCTCACACTCGCACCCGAACCTGGCAGCTCCGGCGAGCAAAGCTCCCTTGGTGCGGGCCGAGCCTTGGCGGCTGCTGCAGCTGCTGCAGAGGCCAGCAGACGCCCGGATCCAAACAGCCCTGCAGGCACCGCCACTGCTGTTGCTGCTGCGGCGGCTGCCCCTGTGCCTCCAGCAGTGCCTGTGCGTATGTGCGAGGGCAGGGCCCCTGTGAGGGGCGGCGGTGCACCGGAGGCAGCCTGCAGGATGCCCCTGAGGCTGGCCAGCCCAGGCCCCACAGCAGCCACCTGCCAGTCAACGCCTCCCCCAGGCAACACCTTGCGGATGAGCCTCCTCGTCTGTGCCTTCAACGCCGGACCCTTGTGCGAGCCTGCACCTGTGCTGCCTGCCTTGGTGTCAACCTTTACCGCAGCAGCAGCAGAGCCACAGGGCTTGTTGTCTGCATCGCTTGCACCACACTTGCTCTCCCGCCGCTCCTTGTCCCCACCTGCACTCCCCTCTGTCGCCTCCACCTTCCCACCATTATCCACCACTCCTGACCTCACTGGACCCACTCTGGGAGAGGCGACCACAGGGACAGTACCCAGACGCGATCGCCCCACTGCTCCCGCTGCTGCCCCAGCACCAGCTGCCAGAGATGCTGGGGGTGGTGGTGGTGGTGCTGCTGCTGTAGCAGCAATGGCAGCAACTGCAGATTGAGGCTCAGGAGCGTCGGCTTGAGAGGCGGTGGAGGGAGTGTCTGTGGAGGTTACAGGTGCGAGGGATGATGGAGACGAGGCATTTTGAGTGGACGACGCGTCTCGTGTGGACGAGGCAGAAACACAGAGAGGAGGGGACGGGAGAGTGGAGGACGAGGAGAGAAGCTTGCTCAAGGATGCACCCTGCTGCTCCTGCTGCTGCTGCTTCGAGTGCGGCGTGGTGAGCTCTTGACTCAGTTTGCTGCCTCGCTCGGCGTCCTGCATGTGGGTGTCAGCAGCAGCATCCAGCTCCAGGTGCAGCACACGGCTCAGAGGCAGTACTGCACCGCCAGCAGCACTAGTACCAGAAGCACCAGCAGAGCCAGCAGCAGCAGCCACCGTCACAACCCCCCCATCCAGCTTCAGCTGTTTCCTTGGAGACACTCTCCCTTCCGCCCTTGCTCCTCCCACCCCGCCTCCTCCCCTCGCCTCTGCCTGCGCCCCATCCTCCTCGCCCTCGCGTGTGCGCTTCTTGCCCTCGGGGCTCACGCTCTTGCCACGTGTCAGCGTCCACGTCACCGGACCGCAGTGAGCGCCGCCCTCCCCGCCCTCGCCATCGATGGCAGCCGCTGGCAGCGCAAAATCAGCCGGATCCTCCTCCTCTTCCTCCTCCTCTTCCTCCACCTCCTGCGCTTCCTGCTCCCCCTCCTCCTGCTCCTTTCCCAATCCCACTGCCTCCTTTCCCTCCTTTTCCTCCACCTCCACCACCTCCTCCTCCTCCTTCTGCTCCTTCTCCTCCTTGTTCTCCAGGTCGGTTGCATTGCCATCCTTCCTAGCTGCCCGCCTGCACGGAGGGCGTTCCCCATTCACACTCTTGCAATCCAAGCCACATTCGCCCTCTTTCTCATGCCTCTGCCCCTCGTCGCCACTTCCTTTCTCATTCTTAACATCACTCTTTCTCCCTTTCTCACTCTCACTGTCCCTTTCACTCTCACTGCCGCCATCCTTACTGCCAGCACCACTGCCCATCCGCAGAAGCAGCCCGCCCTTATCACGCCCGTCACTGTCACCATCGCCTGCATCACTCCCCTTGGCGCTACCACGTTCGCAAGCCCCGCCTGAAGTGGGGTCCTCCTCTGCTGCACTGACTGACCCTGCTCTGCGCTGCACACTGCCCAGCCCCTCGGGCTGCTCCCTCAGCAAGGCCAGCACCCTGCCCGACTCCGACACTCCCTCCGCCTCTTTCCCACCCTCCTTTCCCTTCTCGCCCCGCTCCTCCCTGCCCTTTGCGCCACCTTCAGTAGCCCCATCAGCATCAGCATCAGCATCAGCAGCAGCTGCAGCACTATCAGCCGCGGCCGCAGCACGAGAAGCAGGTGGAGTGGCAGCAGCAGCGGCGTTGGCAGTGACCTCAACCACCCTCCTGCGCTTGCGGAAAATCGAAGGGGGGCCGTCCAGGGAGCGCCCAGCACTGAGCAGCAGGCACGACATGGACAGAGAGGCCGCGCAGGAGGGAGAGCTGCGGCCAGAGAGGAAGGGCGAGAGGCCTGAGAAGATGGCGTTCACTGGCGTCTGACAGCCCGCTGAGGGCGGGGCAGGCTTGCCGCGGGGTCTGGCAGCCGGTGGCCGGCAGGGGAGGTAGCATCTGGCGCAGGCCGAGAGGCGAGGAGAAGGGCTGTGCGGCAGATGAGGGGAGGTTGAGGGCGGTGATTTGCGGTGAGGCAGGCAGGGCGGGGCTGGTTGTGGGGCTGAGGAGGAATGAGTCGAAGAGGGGGGGCAGGGGCACGAGGGGAGGGGGGGCGGAGGAGACGGCAGTGGAGGGCGCAGCATCGAGGTGGTCCAGCTGTGGCGGCACGTAGAAGAGCGAATCGTCCACTGCCCTCTCTACCGCCCTCTCCATCGTCACCAGCCCCGGCACTGCTGCCGCTGCTGCTGCAAACGCTGCAACAGACGCAGGAGTAGGGGTATCCAGCAGCAGCAGCAGCAGCAGCGGCGGCAGCGGTGGCGCCAGTCGCTCCTGCATCAGTCACAGTCACCGCGGATCCAGCCTCGCCTGCAAGGCCGCCCTGACTGCCCTGGAAGCCCTGAGTGGCATGGTACTCGTGCACTGCCTGCTCTGCTGCTTGGAACAGCGGCTCTGCTGCCGCCCCGTCCAGACTCAGCAGCCGCTGCACCGCGGCTGCCTCCTCCTCCTCTGCCCCCTCGCACCCTCGCCTGCCCTCACTCTCCGGCTTCACTTCCGCCCTCGACTCCCAGGCTCCGCCTGTGTGACTTGCAGAGCGCCCTTGTGCTGCTGTGTTGCCTGCCAACGTGATACTGCTTGGAACAGCATTGCTGCCACCCGTTACAGTGTTTTGACTCCCTGCTACTCGCAGAGGGGGTGGGATCTGGGGTGCGCAGAGCTGTGGCTTGGTGTCTGCTTGCATCGCAACGGGGGGTGGAGGAGAGGGAGTGTTAGCAGCAATGACAGTTGGAGGTGGTGGTGGTGCTGCTGCTGCAGTTGGGGCTCGTGCTGGTGCTCCTGATGGTGCTGGTGCGACTGGTGCTGCTGCTGGTGCCTGAGTGGGCATGGGGGGCACTGACAGCAGGGATGGCGCTGGTGCTGCCGCTGGTGTCGGTACTGGTGCTGCTTCTGCCGCTGAGGCTGGTACTGGTGCTGGTGCTGGTGCTCCTGCTGCTGCTGGTACTGGCGGTGGCGCGGTTTGAGGTGGCATGTGAACAGCTCGCTGTTGCTGCTGCTGCTGCACGTGCAGTGGACCAGTGGAGTAGGCCGATGGCAAGGAGAGAGCAGGGCGAGCAGCAGAAGCAGGGGCAAGAGGAGGAGCAGGAGGTGGAGGGCAACAGGGAGTGCAAGCAGTGTGGGGCATGGGGCAGCGACAGCGGGGCTGCTGGCCGTACTGGGGCTGCGTGGGGCCGGCAGCGAAACCAGCCGAAGCTGGTGGCGGTGGTGGTGGTGAGCGGGCAGGTGTGGGCGCGTAGGCGGAGGAAGAGGGGGCGATGATGGAGTGTGGTGGAGGGGCGTGAGGAGGAGGAGGGGGCGGAGGGCATGATGGCATCTGTAGGCCCGGTTGCTGCCATGGTGGCATTGGCCCGCTCTGATACCGCTGCTGCTGCTGCTGCCAAGGCTGCTGCTGCTGCTGCTGCTGCGATGGCTGAAAAGGTTGCTGTACTTGCTGCCCTTGACTTTGGTAGTACATAGGCTGTGACAGCGGCTGCTGGCGCTGCTGCTGCTGCTGCGGTGCGCCCGCGGAGCCTGTGTGCGGCATGGGCCCTTGCTGCTGAGGCAGGTACGCCTGCTGCTGGCTGGGCGCTGGCCGTGCTTGAGGGAGAGTGAGGGCGGGGCGCGAGGGCAGGTGAAGGAAGGACGAGGACGCAGGGGCAGCGCTTGGGGGAGCGCCAGCAGGGGCGCCAGCTGGAGGGGGAAGAGGGGCAGCAGAGAGAGCGGCTGGTGAAGGCAGAGTGAGCGCTGGACGACCAGAGATCGGGGCAGATGGCGTGGCAGCGGCATAGCGCGAGTTATCCACGGGGGCAGCAAATCCTGACTGGTTCTGATGCTGCTGCTGGGCCTGCTGCGGCCACGGCTGCATGGCGTGTGGCTGGGTACTGCTGCTGCTGCTGCGGGTCATACCCATCCCGCCAGGCGCGTTCAGCGGCCTGCTGCACGCTATGCGCAGCAGACTGGGTTCCGCACTCCCCCCCTGCGCGCTGCTGTTGGGCGCACCAGAAGACAGAAGCGCAGAGCCCAGTGCGAGCGGAGGGGCGGAGCTGGTGGGGGGATGGGGGGGCGCAGTGCTGCTGGGGGGGAAGCTGGCGCGGGGGGGCGCATTGGCGCTGGCTGGGAATGGCGCTGAGGGCATACGGAGGGGCGCAGCGGAGTTGGGAGGAGCGCACGCGTTGATGGAGAGGGGCGCGGGGCCGCTGTAGGGAGGCGGGCAGCGCGGAAAGGAAGTGTTGCTGGCTGGCGGAGGTTCACGAGAGCACAGGGGCTGCTGCTGCTGGAGCTGCGACTGTTGTTGTTGCAGCTGCGGCTGCTGCTGCTGCAGCTGAGGCTGCTGCTGCTGCAGCTGTGGCTGCTGCTGCTGCAGCTGTGGCTGCTGCTGCTGCAGCTGAGGCTGCTGCTGCTGCAGCTGTGGCTGCTGCTGTTGCTGATGCTGATATTGATGCTGCTGTGGCTGCTGCTGGTAGTGACCGTTCGGCTGAGCTTGCTGCTGACTCTGCACCACAGCACCCTGTTGCACCACGGCACCCTGCTGCCCCACGCCCTGCATTGCCACACCACCGTGTGCCACGTCAGCACCAGCACCACTGCCACCATCGCCATCCTCATCCCCATCAGGCCGGGGTCCTTTCTCGTCCGGAGAGCACGCCAGGGCGGACGGCAGTCTGCCGCCCATCAAAGTGATGGTGCGGCTGGTGGGCCCCACGCGACAGCGCCCGCTCATTAGGTGCACGCCCGGCGCCATCTGCTGGACCTGCGCCTGCCCCTGCGACTGCCCCTGCGCCTGGGGCTGCAGCGGCGCCTGGGACGCACTGCATGCGCGCAAAGGGGCGCCGCTCACTCTCTGTGAGCCACTGGACATGGGATTGGGACCACTCGGCACTGGCGCTTGGGCGGGGCGGGCAGCAGGTGCTCCAGAAAGGGAGAGGCGCGCGGAAGAAGCGGAGTGTTTCTCCGGGGAAGCGGGGGGGCTGGCACGCGCGCTGGCGGAAGGCTGAGCCGGGCTGAGGGCGGCGGCGGAGCGAGGCGCACAAGAGGGGTTTAGAATGGCGTCGGATGGTGAGGGACGGGACGACGACGCGCCTGGACGACTGCCGGACACAATCGAACAAGGTCTCTGCTGCTGCTGCTGCTGCTGCTCGTGCTGCTGCTGTTGCTGTTGCTCCTGCTCGCGTTGCTGCCGCTGACGCTGTTCCTCCATCATCTCTAGCTTCACCACCACCTGCTGGGGAAGCACCTGAACATTCGCCTGAAACTGGCCTCTGGGCAGCGCAGGCATGCCCACTGCCACTTCCATCTGCGCCGCCTGCTGCTCCTCCCCCTGCTGCGACCCTCCATTCCCCCCCTCCCCCGCCCGCTCCTTCCCTTTACCCTTCCCTTTACTCTCGCTCCCTCGCGGCCCCTCCTCCGCGTCCCCATCGTCATCACCCTCCTCCCCCGCATTCTCCTCCTCCTCTCCCCCGCTCCCGCTCCCGCACGCGCCGTCTCCGCCGATGGGCGGAAGCGGCTTCCCCTCGCGCGCGGCCTGCAGCACTTCCGCGGAGATGGGGATTTCGGGGAGCCCAGGGGACGGCGGAAGCGCGAGGAGGTCCGCGAGAGTGCAGAGCTCGGCGCGCTTCTTCATGCAGCTGTTCCAGTGGTTCTTGATCGAGTTGTCCGTCCTGCCGGGCCGAGGGGTAAGGGGGAATGAAGGGGGAGGGGGTCGAAAAGGGGGAATAGGAGCAGGACAGAAAATATGAGTAACGGAAGCACGTGCGGATGCATGAGTAACGAGTGCGCGAAATCTGCGGATGCGCAGATGCGCGCTGGCTGGATGCGCGATGGTTGGGCGCGCTTTCAACCAACACCGCGAGGCGAGCCTGCAGGAGAACACAGGCACGACTGGTAACTAGCCTCCCCGCGCGCGCGACGAGCAGCGGATACCCCTCGCGACCAACTGCAAACGCATTCAGAAAACGCACGCGCTCGCACACCCCGCACGCACTCCCACACCCCGCACGCACCTGCCAGGCAGGAACTTGGCGATTTCGGCCCACTTGTTGCCGAAGAGCTTGTGCGCCTTGATGAGCTGCACGTCCTCGTGCTCGCCCCACGCCTCCTTCTTGATGCCCGGGTTCAGGTGGTTGTGCCACCGCTCGCGGCACTGCTTGCCGATGCGCCCCGGCAGGTGCTGCGCGATGAGCGACCACTTCTTGGCGCCGTACTGCGCCACCAGCTCCGTTATGCGCTCGTCCTCCTGCCACGACACGGGGAAAGGGCGGAAACGGCGGCGGACACACGAGGCATACGCGCGTTGAGGTGCGGTGCGATGAGCGACAAACGATGAGCGATGAGCGATTTAATGGTGGCGCAGTGCCGCGCCGAGGCCAAAGCAGGAAGGGAGGAAAACGAGGCAGACACGAGCGGTCAGGAGTATTGGAGGAGGGTCGACGACCTGCTCGGTACCAGGCCGTTACTAACATTGTTGTGTAGAACGACTTAACGAATCTAAGTTTAGGCTTGATCGGCAGCATTGGCCAGCCGAAGAACGAGAGCGACGCAAGTGAGACACGTCGGCGCGCTGAGAGACGGCTCAACCAGCTCCACCCAGCTTGACGTGGTGCCCCTTCCCTTGCCTGCTCGACCCAACGTCTCGACATGCTTGATCCGACGCTTCTACCTGCGTGGTCCCAAGCGCTTACCTCTTTGGTCCAGGGCCCCTTGACGAGGTCGGGGTTGAGCACCTTCTGCCATCGGTGCAGGCACTGCACGTCCGTGCGGTCGGGGAAGAACTCCGCTGGTGGCGGAAGGGGTGGGGGAGGGGAGAGCGGATCGCAGGCGAAAGCAAGCCGTTAAATTGATGTTACGCAAAGCCGACGCTTTCACCTTAGCGAGCAGCACACTTTTCGCTAGCATCACAAAACGTAAAAATGGCTTACCTATTTTACGCCAATTCTTGCCCTTATAGCACTGCACTGCTCGCCGTAGGATTTCGTCCTGACACGAAGGAAGACGGGAAGAAGGCATAAGGAGAAAGGGCGAGCGTCAGCCTTATCCAACCATGAGATGCACCTTGCCCATCTACAATACCAGCAGTCTGATTCACGCACCCAAAACAGTCGAGGGACTCAGAAGCAAGCTTCTAAAAGAGCATGAGCTGTAAAGAACAAAGGGAACCGCCAAAGAAGCGGACTTGCTGGCATTGGAGTGATTACTGGCCTTCACGGCCGAAGCGCACAGGCTGCCTACGTCAACAGAGTACTGAAATCGAAGGGTAGGGTGCGAGGTGGAGGGTACGGCTGCGAGGGTGCATACCTCTTCGGCGGTCCAACCACCTCTTGACGACCGGCGGGTGGGTCCGCCCGTAGGGCTGCAGGAGAAGCAGAGGGGAACAACGAAGTACAGAGGAAATGAGCAGAGTCGGGAGCATGAACGGACGTGCTACCGAAAGCCAGCATCATGCAACTGCTTCACGGCGGATTGGCCGTGTCGCGACGACTCCGGCTGAGCTGTCACGTAGCGGTCGTGCGAAAAGCAATTAGTTGTACTCTGGCTTCAGTACCCTAGTCAGGGCTCGCACTAATGTGAAGCCGCACTCACCCAGTTACCGGAGGCAGCGTCCTGAGGACGTCCTCCTTGTCGCGCGGAATGCCGCTGGAATGGCCTATTTCGTACCCCCCGCTGCTCTGCGGTGCTCCGCTGCCATGAGGCTCGGGATAGCTGGTCAGCGTTTCGTGATCTCCTGGCGCTCCTGCCGCGCTAGGCATGTAAGGACGGTTATCCGCCATTATCGCATGTCTTGGTCGGGTATATTATCTAAATTCAACTACCATATATTAGGGATCGTATCGATTTCGCTAGTACTCGGCCACTTTTTTTTTCCGTGGAAAGCCTACTGATGTAAATATTTGTGGAGTCAGGTTAGTTTTCGCTAGTGAGGCAAGTATACAAATGCAGCAGGGTATTCCGTCAGCTTGACAAACGTCGCGACTAAGTAGCAGCCGAGAACAGGCAGAATTAATCTGATTTGGCAAGCAGCGTCAAGCTCCGCAGTCAGTTTGGTACATCGCTCATCTCATGGCTGCTTGGTGGAAGTCACGCGTCTGACGGAAAAATAAGCCGTCAAGTCATGCAAAATAAGCTCAGGTGACACTGTAGCTAAGACTACGTCAGGGGCCTCCAAGAGAAGGGTCCGTCACTCCCAAACAAGCCACCAGCAGCAGCAGCACCTGGGAACTGCGAGGGAAGTCCAAGGTTCTGGCTTGCCATGGTGACCAGAGCCTACTCTGAACTCAAGCTAAACCCGGTCAGGAAAGAAGCTGATTTTGCAGGTGGCCAGCCCGTAGGAACGTCCGTTTGCAACAACCCCACAGAGACTGCCTGCCCGCGCCTTGCAGATTTGCTGCTTGGTGTGAGAAACACCCGCCACCCCTGGAAGGGTTCCCATATGTCCTTGTCAGGGCAGGGGCAGGCGGCTTGGCCTGCCAAGCCCAGTACTAAGCGACACGGATGCAGCAACCAACCACACAGGTGAAGCACTGAGAGGTTCGGTCTGGTTTCCGAGTTCCCCTAGGTTCTTCGGGTGGCCCTGAAGTTCTTGGCAAGGGGTTCCGAACGGCATGGTGGTTCAAAAGCCCGCGCCATTCAGGTGTGGTGTCCACCTGTTGCTCCGAATTACCGTTGCAGGTAGGTTTGGTGGGAACGGTTCGCGGCGGTTTTCCCGCCAAACTCAAGTTCCAGGCACCGTTGTTCCGTTGTCCTCTTGTGGCGGGCGTTGCGTCGAGAAGCATAAATTACGGAGATAAAGGGAGGCACGTTGGAAAGCCAAGTTTCGTAATTGTCGAGGGGTCACATAACGAGGTTTGTCAACGTAGTACATGTACAGAATTTGAACTTCCTTTGACCCAGCCTCTTTTTGACTTCACTAGAAGGAATCATACGTACGGCATTCCCTTCATTAGCACAAGTCTTCATCATATACAAAGCTATACACTGGTCCTTGACCATTCCTCGGCCGATACCATCAGCTAAAAAATGTCTCACTGTGCGCCAGCATTTGCCAAACCACGCATTGTCGACGAAGGAATGAGCGTCGGTTTCATCTGCTTGAACATCTGTTGTTGTGTTGGATCTCAATAAAACTCTGAAGTACCGTAAGACTGTGAGTGGAATAGCAATCGATATGGAGCAACCATAGTAATTTGTGTTACGAATAGTAACATTTAATTGTTACTGAGCACTCCTCACCGCAGCAAAGAGAAGCACGCAGTATCGAAGCAAGAAAGCGAACCGTCAGACGGTTGGAGTTTGACTCGAAGTGTCAGACAGTTGGGGCGCATCTGGACCGTCGGAAGCAGACGGCATCGGACAGCTGCAGGCAGGATGTTTTTGGCGGGAACAGTTACGAAACTGTACGCGCCGCACGGTTGAGAATGCGTTTGAATAAGGGAATGTACCCCTTAGAGTACATGGCTAGCTAGGTCGTTTCGTCTTCCCTGTACTCATATTTATACTTGCTGTATTTGCATGTTTCAATAATCTCAAGCATTTTACATTCACTCTGCTATTGAGATCACGGGCCCACCAACTACATTTCCCTGTGTGCGAACCTTCCCGAGTAGATCCTGGTAAGCGATCATTCTCTGATCGTAGCATGGTGTGAGAGCGACTCGGGAATCAATCGCAACACCACTCCCGAAAATTGCGACATTCGGAAAGTGGCGACCGGCACACGCTAAGAATGGCGGTGTAAGAATGGCCGGAGGATCTGGTGTAAGAATGGCCGGAGGATCTGGTGGTCAGACTAATCTGACGGCTGAAGCGCGCACCAACCCGGCTGCGACAAGCGAGGAAACGACTACGATCGGCACCGAAGTCCTCGCACAACTTCTTCAGCGACTCACCAGTCTGGAGCAAGGGCTCCAAACATTGCGGAACGGCGATGCGGGAACATCCTCGCAACCATCCCAACCGGGCCCAACTGGGCAGAACACCGTCCCGCAAACCTTCTCCCTCGACACAAATGGCTCAACCCCCAAGGCTCCCCGTCCCAGTGAAGAAGCAATTCTCTCCGCTCAATCAAAGTTTCTGAGCATATCAAAAATAAAGACAAGTTCCAGCTTTGACGGCAAAGACTTCTATACCTGGAGCTTCGAATTGGAGCTCCTGCTGCAGAACGCCCAAATCTTCCATTACTTCGACGGGAGCTACGCCGAGCCTGCCGAGGACACCGACGACGCCAAGGCGAGGTATTACAACGAATCACTGATGGCGTACGGGGTGCTCCTGCGGAACATGTCCCCGGCGGAGCAGCTCAACATTCGTTCGTACAAAACGACAGCTGCTCCAGCCCTCAACGCCTGGCGACATCTGACAGGAGTGTATCAGCCCAAGGACTCTGTCTCCTCGAGCCGACTGCTCCAGGAACTCCTGGAAACCAAGATGACCTCAGGGGAGAAGGTCAACACTTACCTTAACCGCTGTCGGAGCCTTCGTGATCAAATCGTGAAGTTGGGAAGCACGATATCTGAAGAAATCTTCGTTAACATCGTACTTCAAGGGCTCGGCCCAGAGTGGCGGCCCTGCAAGGCGCTTCTCCGACAGCAGGGGGTCATCTCGGAGGCCGCCCTTTGCGCCGCCCTTCTCGTCGAACAACGGGATATGGACCAGCAGCGACCAGCGCCACGACGAGAAAGAGAACGGCTCGCCTTCTACGCCGACAACAACGAAGAGCGACGGCCGAGGCGCCTTTACTGCAAAATCTGCAGGAACTTCGGGCATCTGGCAGATCGATGCAAATCCCGATCTCGCCCTCGCCAGACCAATCCGAGCAACTGGTCCGGCCGACAAGACGTACGAGGCGACGTGCGTCCAGCCCAGGGCTATCAGCCCCCTCCCACGCGCAACCTGAACCCCGCGGTTCAGCATCAGCAGCAGCAGCCGTCATCGACTGCACCCGTGCGCAACGTCATGAGCAACATGGCCATGGCAGGTGAGTTGCGCCGTCGTCGAGTACGCTCTCCCTCACCTGAGCCAGCTCCGCACCCCATTGGTGCGTTCGCTAACAACAACCCGTTTAGTCCGCGCCGCGACTTCACCGACGACGACGACCAGGACTGGAACCTCCCAGTCCCGCTGCTTGAAAGTCCCCCGCACGTACCTGATATGCGGGTGGCGCCACTTGATTGGCTCACGCGCGAGCAATTTCTGAAGTTCGATACCCCGCACATCGTCACGCCGCGACTGGCGCTGCTCGCACGTGACGACAACAAGCGCAACAACACCTGGTACTTGGACAGCTGCTGCGGCCAGCACATGGTGGGCTCCGAGCGTTACATATCCAACGCCGTCCCCACCCCTACCGTCACTCACGTCACTGTGGCGAACAACACGCGCCTGCGCGCAAGCGCGCAAGGCATCGTCGTGCTCAAAGCACGCGGAAGCCGCACGCACATCACTCTTAATGATGTGTTAATCATCAAAAACCTGCGCTTCAACCTCCTGTCCGCCGCACAGCTCATGGACTGCGGCGTCGACCTCAGCACGGACCACGCGACGCGAGACATCCTGCTACACTACGAGGCGCGCAACTTCCCCCGCAGGCAGATCGGACGAGCACACTCCGAAAATGGAGTGTACATCCTGGATTTCGATATTCCCGACTGCAGCGGCGACTCGCACGAGCTAATTGACCTCGTGCCACTGCGATTCGAACACATCCACCGCAGGGACTGGAAGCACCCTGACGGCAGGCCGTGGGTGCCGCATCATCCCCACCCACGCGAAACGGCACTTCACAACCCCGATCCAGATGGAATCTGCAGGGATTGTCACACGCCGACGACCTCGACGAGCGCGATTGCAGGCCGCGGACTCGCCGCCATCGCGGAAGCAGAGCGCAACGCGCCCCCCGAGGAAGGGATGTCGCAGCTCGAACTCGAAGTCACCACGCATAACGTGTTTGGCACGCCTGAGCACCCCCTCACAGGTCCCCCTTCTCAACATCTTCGAGGGATGCTTCGTGGAACTGGTGTCGGCACCTTCGATGCGCGTGGCATGCCACGCCCCTACACCCGCGAGGATTTTCTGCAGATTTACCCACATTGGCGCGACCCCACGGCAAAACTCACCGTGGAACAGGAGGAAGAACTGGCGCGCCGCGAAGCCGAGGAGCTTCGCCAACAAAGCCTCACCGAGGCACGCGGAACGTTCGCTTGCGCCGCATGGGGCGCCGAAGCTGAAGAAAGCGCCACCAATGAAGGGGGGTGGGGAAGCGTCGGCGGACGGGGAACGGCTGAGGCTGGCGACTGGGCAACCGCAACCGGCGGATGGGGCGCCGCATCTGGCGCCGACACGAGTGGCTGGGGCACCCCTACTAGAGGCTGGGGGACTTCCCGCGAAGACCAAAGGGGGGGAGAAGAAGAAGCTGGAGAGTCTGCAGTTGTTCCCCTCGGTCGTCCCCCACGCCATGTCCCACTCGCGTTACCTCCTCCTGATAACGCCGCGATCCATGGGACACCATCAACTGGGGCAACGAGCCGTCAACCCCGCGCCGCACTGTCTACGGACCTGCCCCTGAACCTCGCGAACCTACCTTTCGGGCTGGAACCATCCCTGGGACCAACATCCCGCTCTCTGAAATTCGTGACAGAGAATTCCTGGCGCTGATGCTCACCACCGCGACAGAAGAAGAAGAAGCAGAGGAAG